TCCCCCTTCTTTTACACCTCTTGACCTTTGACCCCCAAATTGATCATCCCGCGTCCTTTTCATGATCCCCCCCCCCACATGCCGAATATCGTGACCGTACGTCGAGCGGTTAAGATTTGTACCCAACTGTTGACGCACGCACGCACACACGGACGGACGATCATGCGATTCTACAAGCTGCATCCGACTATGTCAGATGAGCTAAAAATGGAGGGCAAATGCTTGTGTATTTTTGCTCTGATGGTGTGAAACGAAGTGAGCGTTGTGCGAATTTTCCTTTCATGCTTTCCCACACTGCTCTATATTTCTATGAGTGTGTGCAAAGCGGTGGCATTTGAATGGCATTTATGAGGAAATTAGTCGATAGAGAATAAATAAACATGGAGGCTTTCGTAGTAATTTGGTGTTTGTACACGTTAGTCGTTATTAATATTAATTATTATTGAAACGTTCAAAGTGCCTGTGTGGATTATGACCGCCACTAGGCACTACAATCTACATAGTCTGAGTTTTCTCTGACCAATGCCCACACCAACGATTTTGGTGGATTTGGTGTGGGTTTCTGTTGACTTTGTTAACCCACACCAAATCCACCAAAATCGTCGGTGGACCATTGGACTGGTATTACTATTGCTATTGGTAATTATTACTATTACTATTAACTATTACTATTAGTAATTACTAATAGTAATTAATAATTAAATAATTAATAATTAAATAATAATTAATAATTAACTATTACTATTACTATTAGTAACTATTACTATTGGTAAGGTTGACCATTGGTATTGCCATTGGTAAGAGGAAATTCGGACTAGGCACTACATAGCTCTAGTACTATAGCCCGCTTACATTAACTGCCGCTGGCAGCGGCAGTTAATGTAAGCGGGCTATAGACTATAGTACTAGAGCTAGGCACTACATTGATAAATTGCACCAACCTTCGGAATCTGTGAGAACTTCCATTCGACCACTGAACATGGCCCTGAGCATGTTATCATGTTTTGTGAGCGTTTGCATTGTAGTGTAATGCAACGCACCACCAACATTTAACTTTACATATTTACTTGGCGATCCCTTCACGATAGTCTTCTGAGACTCTGCAGTTGGGCGAGGATTGCCTGACATTTGTTGGTCAGTTTGGCTTTGCATCAAACTATAGTCACAGATGATACGCAGCAACAATCCCCGCGGTCAATACTAATACTAGTTTGTCCTCCTCGACACGCAGTTGTTTATGACTAGTTGCTATATATATTTAGCTATATATATTTATGCAACTTAACTGTAACGTAGCACACAAATATTAGACGTTATGTAATGTTCATCAGTAGTCAGTAGACTCAGTACAGCGTATCGTCATCACAGATACACCCCAGTTCCTACCAGTTCCTACGAACGTCACCGGAAATGTGCGTGTCTGCGGCGCCATCTAGATGTTGTCTCGGGCATGTACGCACGATGTTGCTAGGGTGTAGGGTGGAAAGTAAACAAATGGATGCGTATGAAACTGCCTGGTGCAATTTTAGTAACTTCGTAAGCTTATAGTTTCTTATATTATAGTACTCGTGTCGGAATATTATAGGTTGCCCTATCGGGTTATCACTTACACTTACTCATAAATATCATTTTAGTTGGATGCAAGGTTAGGTCCTTAGGATTATTAATATTAATATTAATAATATAATAAATTAATATTATTTATGGTATTCATATGATAGGTACTACTAGTACTAGTACTACTACTACTAGTACTAGGGATGAGAGGGTCTATGTCCCCCGGGGTACTGCCGGAACGTACCTTGGGTACGGTCCGGTATACCGGAACGTTCCCTGGTACTATCTAATATGCCGTAGGCCTACCGTACCTCGCCTACTCCACTAACGAGTCTAGGTATAGTCGCCTACGCCTACTCCCTAACCCAGGGTTCTTGTTAACTTTTGACAAAGCAGGTAATTTGACAATGAATAGCAGGTAACTGTTTTTCCGGCACGGACGGTAGGGCGAGCGGCGAAGGCGCGAAGCCCTGCTAGGGGGGTCCAAAATTTCTGATTTGACCCACATATAGCCTATTTTGATGGGTATGGGTTCTTGAATTTGGTAGTTTAGATAGGAAAATATATGCTATTAAGTATCTATTATAAAAAGAAAAACCCGCAAGTGCACAGAGTTAGTCTTGGGTTGGAAGTATTTAAAATAAACTTCGTTTTTTCAAATATGGATTAAATATTTTCCCGCCTTTAGTGGGAGTTTCTCAAATTGATAGCCGGTAACAAATTGCGCGATAGGCGGTAAAAATAACCGGTTACCGGCTATTAACAAGAACCCTGCTAACCCTAACCCTAACCCAAACCCGAACCCTAACCCTAATCCTAACCCTAATCCTAACCCTAATCATATCAAATAGTGACCAGGGTACGTTCTGGTATACCGGACCGTACCCAGGGTATACGTTCCGGCAGTACCCTGGGGGACATAGACCTATGAGCACTACTAGGTAGGGGTTCAAGGATAGAGAACATAGGCCCAATGTCATTTACATCAATATAAATGTAATATTATATCAATATAATAGGTTAGGGTTATGGTTAGGGTTAGGGTTAGGATTAGGGTTAGGGTTAGAATTAGGGTTAGGGTTAGGGTTAGGGTTAGGATTAGGGTTAGGGTTAGAATTAGGGTTAGGGTTAGGGTTAGGCACATTGGTTTTATTGCGACCCATGTTCTCTATCCTTGGCCTTGGGCCATACCATCTGGGTAGCTCTAGTACTATAGGGACTATAGCCCGCTTACATTGACTGCCGCTGGAGGCAGCGGCAGTCGTGTGGAGGCACCGCCAGCGGCAGTCAATGTAAGCGGGCTAAAGTACTAGAGCTACCATCTGGGTACCTAGCTGTAGTACTATGGCCCGTGGATATCTGCCGCAGGCCTGGGCACTATTTTGAAAAAAAAATTCTGCTGGGAACCAAGGAGCAACATATACCAAGGAGATGAAACCCCGGGGGGGGGGGCACTCACCCACATTATGGTAGGTATGTGCCACTGCAAAGTCAAAAATGGGGGGGGCTCTGGAACTAACTCAGACCTGAAAATGGGGGTAAAT